GATAGATAGATAGATAGATAGATAGATAGATAGATAGATAGATAGATGATAGATAGATGGATAGATAGATAGATAGACAGACGATAGATAGATGATAGATAGATGGATAGATGGATAGATAGATGATAGCTAGATAGACGATAGATAGATAGATAGATGATAGATAGATAGATAGACAGACAGATAGATAGATAGATAGAAAATCATAAGTGTCCTGGTTTTGTTTCCCTAGAGAACCCTGCCTAACACACACTATCAAAAACTTGAATAAAGAAGGCCGTAGAAGAACTGATGCTTTTGAATCGCGGTGCTGGGGAAGAATACTGACAGGCCCACGGACTGCTACAAGGACAAACCAATCTGTATTGGAAGAAGTACGGCCAGAGAGCTCCTTAGAGGCAAGGGTGACAAGACTTTGTCTCACGTACTTTGGACGTGTTATCAGGAGAGACCGGTCCCTGGAGAAGGACCTCATGCTTGGTGAAGTAGAGGGGGAGCCAGGGACGGGAAGGCCCTCCGCAAGATAGTCAGACACAGTGATGGACCGACACAGTGGCTGCGTCTGTGGGCTCAGGGGATGGTTGTGAGGACGGCAGTGTTTTGTTCTGTCGTGCACTGACAACAGCAACCTCAGAATAACCCTAAAATCAGTGCAGACAAAGGGTCCAGGTGCAATATTTCCAGGCCCCACTGCTAACAATTCCATCCAACGGCCCTTACCTGAGAACTATCTACGGCCCTTACCTGGGAACTATCTTGGGCCACATACCGGCATCTCTACTCACTGGCTTCTGTAGGTGTCAGAAATAAACAACATGACACTTTGTGTTCATTTGTGTGTTTAAAGAGAAACATGCCTAACACCACCAATGATAATGTTCTGGAGTTTACCTATGCCCTGTAATTGTCATCCGTTTCAAATGTGCTACGAACTCCCAGAGTCCGAATTCCTCTGTCAAGTCTCTGTATCTAACTCCCAAACCCCATTCTCAGGTGCCCATGCTTGGGTTGGATGCAGGCCACATTCTGCCTTGTGCTTTTGGAAGTTTAGCCTCAAACTAGATCTGCTAAGGAGAGTAACGCTCGCAGTCACTTTATAAAACGTAAACAAGCAAGGACACGCTTCATCTTTTTTTGGAGTTTTTCTTTTTGTTATCTCACCAGGTACATCTTGAGTCCAAAGGCTAGGTGGCACCCTCCCTAAACCAAGCGGGCTTCTAGCTGCGGTGATACAATGAAGTGTTCGGATACCCTGTCCATTTCAGATTTAGAGTGGGCTTAGCTTTGTTTCTCCTAACCGACATCGACTATCTGCCATTCTGCTGCGCACGCTGAAGGCTCGAGGCGGGTCCTGGGAGAAGGTGGACGATCACCGAGTGTTCCATGACGGTCACCCTGTAACTGCCCTCCCAGGATGCCTTGCCAGCCCCTTCGTGGACACGAGGCATTTCCTTGTCTGCTAATAACTTGCTCAGTGGAAAGTCGGCCTGCAGGACATTCCTTCGGCAGTTATTTTGAGCAGTTTGCACATTAATCACAATGTCTTCTGAGACACCATCATCACTATAAACACAGCTAGGGAAGGTCAAGGAACTGGCCAGATTTTGAGGCCCATGCTTCCATCCAACTTACGTCTCTGGATCAGCTGTTTAAGAAAATCTTTTGATCAGCAATTAAAATGGACTACTTGGTTCATTCCCTAATTTAATAAGGGCATCCTTTCCAGTCTGGCCACTTCCTTTTGACCTAAAACAGATATGCGAGTGGGGGCCGAATCACCACGGTGTCCTCTTTTCCCGTGAGCTCCTCCTTCTGAGAAATGCTCGTGCTAACTTGGGCAGAAGCTTCCACCAATAAAACCCGTTCCTTGTTTAACTATGATTTGCATTGAAATATTTCCAACCTGGGAAGTAAATAAGGGGATGTTAAACATGGAAAAGACAGAGAAATAAAACAATTGAAAGAAAAATGTTCATTGGAAATTTTTTAAAATGTCTTTCCAAATGAGCATGACTGAAAAGGAATAATAACAACTCAAAATCTAAAGAAAAAGAAAAATTTCCCCTTAAAATCATGGATCTCTCTTTGTCCCCTGCCTCAACCCTGGGCCCTTCCTAAATGGAAACCGCTATTAATAAATAATTGTTGGGGTAACTTTGAAGGGAGGAAGAAAAGCATGCAATTAAATTATACATGGGTCTATTACTTTTTCTGTATGTAATTGGGACCATGCCATTGGTCTACTTGATTTTTTCATTTATGGGAGATGCTTCTATGTGAATTTATAAAGATTTTCCTTGCTTTCAGTGGTTGCACAGTCCCCTGTATGGGTGTGCTGTGACTGAATGAGCTGTCTCGTTAAATGCAGTAACAAAGCAGACCATGCATAAGGTGACTTTCTGACAGTGGAATTGCTGGGCTTGAGGCAGAATGCACTTAACATCTTGCTAGAAATCATCAGAGGGCCCCCTGAACTGTCTGCATCTAGCAGTAACCATGCGAACAGTGGATGACAGCATCCCCTTTGCCAATGATGCGCATCATCAGACCCAAATTGTCAGTCCTCTGCTAGAGGTGGCAAATGCCACAGCTCACTGTGTAGCTCCCCTCTTGCTGGCCAAAGCCAAGCATCACATTGTAGCTTAAATATTCACATGTCGCTTTTTGAGTGAGGTAGTTAGTTTATTGTGCCAACCTGGCCGATAAACACGTGGGATTAAGTGAAAGGCGGAGAGATAAATGGCTCAGCGAGCCTCGCCTTGCTTGTCTCTTGCTCATTGATCATCAGACCAGTGTGTGGCTGCCTTGCTTGTTCTTTGCCTCAATTTGCAAGCTACACTACCTATGGGACACCTAACCCGTGGACTGTGTCGCTGTAATTTGAGGCTCCTTCAAGACCTGCTTCGCCACACCATTGGAATTTACATCTCTTGAGCTGGGGACTGTTGGACCCTGTCATCTGGCTGACTGCCTTGCTGTTTGCTGCCTGCGCCTGAATGGCCTGAATTGCTCTATAGAGGACTACCCGGTGGCCCTCAAGACTTGAAGGACTGCCAGTGTCTCACAACTGTCTCACGGGAGTGAGTTGCACTGAGCCATTTGTACTGCTTTATAACTTAATCAACTGTTTGTTTCTTATGTTATACATCTCTCTATCTGTATAAATATATATAAAAGTATTAGCATTCTGGTTTTGTTTCTCTAGAGAACCCTGTCTGACACATTGAGTTAGTTAGTTCATGTCTTTCGCTCAGTTTTAAAACTGGAATCTATCTTTTAATTGGACTGTGAGAGGATCTGCCTGATTCTACCCATTTGTACACGAGTGCCGAGGCCAGACCAGCTGAAAGGAGAGCTCTCCTGAACTCCTCTGCACATGCATCAAGGCAGCGCTCTGCCCTTTGGATGAAGTAGCTGTCACTCACTGTCGACAGCTGGGCCTGCATCATCATCCCCCTGGCCTGTTCTTTGGAGGGCGACTCGGGAAACAGGTTTTGTCTGGCACAGACCGTTGAGTTCAGTTCTCCCAGCATGCTGATTTTCAGCTTGTCCTTGAAACTTCTTGTGTTAGTCCGGGGAGACTAGAGAAACGAATCCAGGACACTCATATGTGTGTAAAAGAGAGCTCTATATTGAAGAGCAAGTGGATATTGAGAAAACATCTCAGCCCCGTCCAGATCAAGTCTATCCAATATCAGCCCACAGGTCCGATGACAGTCTATAAGTTCCCATTCAGTCTCACAAAACACATGCAATGGAAGATCACAGGCCAGTGGGTGGAAAGTCTTGTGGATCCACTGGTGGTGGAAGCATCTCAGCGTTGGCGTGGCTCTCCATGTGGCTCCTTCAGCTCCAGGGCTCTGATTTCATCAGTGTAGCTACTTGTGTCTGGTCAACAGGAAGATGAAGCAGAAAGTGTCTGTGTCCCGCCTCCAGTGAGCTATTTACCTCCTTCGTGTCTCCAAATGAGGTCATCAAGCTGCGACCTGATTGAGAGGCTAGACTCCACCCCTTCACAAGTTGACAGGAAATAAAGTAACCGCCGCCGCACTCCCTTTCCAATCACCTATCCTGTGGTTTCAGTGGAAAACACAGGCAGTGCATTTTTTTAAAGACCCTGTGGCCCTTGGTCTGGAACTGAACTCCTGTGTGTGGCTCAGGTGTCAGCCAAACAATCCACAGGTCTGCGAGGGGAACAACACTAGGGAGGTCTGTACACCTGAGTCATCAGCCAGGTGAGACCCAAAGGGTAGCATTGACCCCGGGACAGAGTGCAGCAGGGTTAGGAAAGAAGAGGCACGGGAAGAGGGGAACACAAGGAATCAGCGGGTTGCCTGGTGCTACATCATGGGCATTGCAATCAATGACACAAAACAAAATGGGAATGGAAAACTGATTTGCTCTGTAGATCTTCACCCAATTCACAATAAAAAGTTTTGTAAACGACAACTTTCTTTAAGGATGCTGGCAACGGGGTGGGTGGAGGGAGGGAGAGGGGGCATATTGCTCTATGGTAGATATATACTTACATGCAGGCTTTAATGAGGATGCTGACAGCAAGAGACAGAGTTTGTTCTTTACAAAAAGAGGACACAGGTTACACACTGCCTGAAGAGGTCATAAGCACGGCCCAATCACAGCCAGGTTCCCAGAGGCTCCCCGGCCATGGGAATGCTGCTAAGCCTCAGAACCCAGAGGGAACACGCTCCGGGTTTTTCTCTTTAGGCCTCCCAGGGACAAATCATGCTGCAAGTCAGGTGGCGGATGCTGGGTTTCTATCAGAAGCAAGGCATTCTAAAGGTTGGCCGCTTCTCCCTGGGGACACTGTCCTCTGCAGAATGGACTCTTGTCAAAGGTTGTTTTCCGAGGATCTTAGCTTCCTCACCCACACCGACCTGCCCCGGGGGGGGGGGTGCGTTACCTGGTCTCTGTGCACCAGTGTGCTGGGGCTTGCCCGTGGCTTGTCTTTAAAGGCGTACGTGGCCACTTGCTTCTTCAGCAAGTCCAGGAAGTTCGGAGGCATATACGGGGGAAGGTCATTGATTACCGGGTTGTTTCTGTGCACAAGAGGTGGTCTTTTCCTTCCTTCGTTCTTGAAATTATAGGTGATTCTGACTGGATTTAATAGCGATTCTTCAATAAAGGTTTTCAAGTGGTAAGTCCCAGGTATAGGAGTTTTCTGTAGGAAACGGACAGACACAGTGAAGGTCATCTGGTCCACCGGCGACATTTTTAAAAAAATCATTTTATGAGGGGTTCATACAACTCTTATCACAATCCATACATACATCAATTGTGTAAAGCATATTTATACATTCATTGCCCTCATCATTCTCAAAATATTTGCTCTCCACTTAAGCCCCTGACATCAGCTCATTTCCCCCCACACCTTCCCCATTCCCCTCTCCCTCATGACTCCTTGATCATTTATAAATTATTATTTTGTCATATCTTACACTGTCTGACGTCTCCCTTTACCCACTTTTCTGTTGTCTGTCCCCCAGGGAGGAGGTTGTATGTAGATCCTTGTAATTGGTTCCCCCTTTCCAACCCACCCTCCCTCTACCCTCTGAGTATCATCCCTCACACCACTGGTCCTGAAGGGATCATCTGTCCTGGATTCCCTGTGCTTCCAGTTCCTGTCTGTACCAGTGTACATCCTCTAGTCTA